AGTGCTCAGCTACCAAAGAGTCTATTGGTAGTCTGGAAGATCATAGCTGATTTCCCCTCTCTTGAGTTTTTGGGAAAGAAAATGTTGATGCTGTTAACATTATTGGCCTTTTAATTATTATATTGACAGTACTGAAAAAATATATAAAAAGAATATTTCCATGAAACAAGGAGAAGTATAATTAGGTGAGATAGGTAGGACTAGTAATGGACTTCTTGATGGCTAAGCATTTGTAGGGCCATCACTGTCATGTGGAGACATCTGTGTGTATCCAAAATTTATAAGCGAAGCTCAAAGTGGGTATGGCATTTATATACAGATCCCTACATTTCCAACTTGTACACCCCTATGGTGCAAGGACTATTTTTTTTATATCCAGTATCATGTGAATGGAATGCTCTTGTTTTTGTGTCGAAGCCTGTGATTGGCTTGTGATATTTCACGAATATTATCACTGACAACTAAAAAGTTTGGAAACAATACTATGTTTTGCCCAATGTCATTATTATTGCATGAAAAATGCAGTGTTTTCCATAAAAAATATCAATTGGAATTGGTATAACTTTCAACTTTAGCGCAATTATGGTAGCCAAACACTGATAGCAACATTTAATCTCAAATTAATTTTTGACAAAAAATGCATTTTTAGAGATATAGAAGAGCTTTCATTCAATTTGTAAATGTAACACATTATTTTGAGAAGGTAAAATATGAATTACATATTTTTTTCTGTATATGTAAATTGTAAGGATTTCTCACCTCTGTTCATTGTCTCTGCATGGCTTCCTTTAGGAATTTATGAATGATAAATTACCAAATTGCTTAACGGGTTATTCCTGCTGATGATTTGTAAGAGGTCTGGAATGCACACTCAGGTCAGATGGAGTAATCCCCTAAAAATGATATTAAGATTTACAGAGGAGATCATTAAGTCAGAAATTTCTGATATGTTGTTAGAGATAGTGTTAAGGAGCTTATATGCTCTGAAATCATATGCATCCCCTGTGTGATATGCTATTCCTGTATTTTCTAAATAGCATTTTTTTGCAGTTATGAACATTCCTTAATCATTTCCTCAGTCTGTTTTTTATGTAGATATTTGTAAAATTATTTCAATCAATCACTGTCATTGTTAGAGACCAGTCTATTCTTTCATAGAATACTAGATACAGCAGAAGTATTTCCAGTTAAAAATTGTCACCTCCAGACTTGTGGTGTACCATATGGAGGTGTAGAGATCTGTACATGCCATCCCTGTCAGCATGGAGGTAATGATGATATAAATGATAATAATATTACCCCAATTCTGCTGAGAAAATGTAATTATCACTGTTTTGTTTAATGTATCTACATGTAAAGGGCTCCACAAGAGCTCAGCCAATTAGGAGTCAATTAATAGTTTACATGAGCTCACCTGATTTCCCCCTTCCTCTCTATGTAATGCTATTAACTTATTGGATCAGGTTGCCATGCTGCCTGCACATGCCCAAATATAGGCATTAGGCTTAACTGAGGGGTGATTCTCCCTGGTGTATGAGTTGCAGCCCTAGTCCACGAACACTTTTGTGTAGTGTCAATACTCCTTGCAGTGTTATCTCTTTCTACAGAAGTGAATTTTGTATTTTTGCTATTTTCCATGGTCTGTATTTATCAGAGGGTTATAGACTGTGTTCCTCATACATACTCAATATTATCTCTTCCAAGTAATCTACAGATTTTTGTGCACACACACACATACACATACACATACACATACACATACACATATTCATATACAAATACACACATACACATACCCATACACACATACACATATTCATATACACACATACACATACACATACACATACACATACACATACACACACTTGCACACACACACACACACATACACATACACACACTTGCACACACACACACACACACACACAAACCACACACACACACACACACACACACACACACACACACACACACACACACACACACACACACACAGTTCAGTAAGAAGGTAGTAGAAGGGGGGGAGTGGGTATAAGGGAGAGGAAAGGGGCTTAGAGTTTAAAGCGATATGGGGAAGGGGAAAGGGAGGAGAAACAGAGAGAACTTAAAAGTGGAAGGCAGATGGGGTAAGGGGGTAGAAAGGGCAATAGGAGACGGGAATTAGAAAAAAAAGTGGGATAAAGAAGCAAGGGAAATGGAGAGGTTAGTGAAGAAGAGGGGGGAAATGGGAGGGGGCAGATATAGGGCTTAAAGTTGGTGGGGAGGAGTGAGTTTAAGTAAGATTTAGGAGCGGGCAGGGATGGTAGAGTGGGGAAGGGAAAGGGAAAGGAAAAGGATGAGAGAGAAAGAGGAGGAGGAGGAAAGAAGTATCTCATAGTTTTTATCATTCCATGAAATTTTCATCAGTCCTGCTAGTGATGATGATGATAATAATAATAGTAAAAACAATTATGCAACAACCATAATTAACACAATCACAATAAGAACAGCAATAATT